ACCACCCTACTGAGCCTCCCAGCCCTTTCTATTCTCTCCTGTGGTCATGCCAGGTCATACAGCCTGGCTTACTATATGCATATGTTCTAACACTCTCCATACCAAAACTGGGCCATCCCAGTCCATCTTGTGGCTATATTACCCGCTTCCTGATGCCCTAAATGCCCTTGTGGGACCACCATAATCCATCAATCTCCCCCCCCCCAAATACTCCTGCAGGGGTGAGGGATATTGAGGGAACTTCACTCTGTAGCACCTAGGAGCACAAGATCTCCAGCTGGGAGGCACCACAGACATTATTCAGTATGATTCCCTCATTTTACAAGATGGGGAACTCAGGACCAGAAAATCAGATTGGGCTTTAAATCCAAGGACCATCCAGCCACTAGTACCAGCATTCATTTTATAGATGAGATTAGTGAGGCAGGTCTAGAGAAGGGATCCTCCATGGTGCCAGGCATGGGAGCCTCAACACTTAGAAAGTTCCAGGAGCACCTTCAGTACGTTTTCATATGGTAAAGTCACTTCCAGGTTTGGTATTCTACACAGCATTCTAAGGCTCCTGCCAGCTCTGACATCCCATAAGTTATGATTTGATACATTCTTCCCCCACTCTGACCTCCAACCAGTTTCACTAGCCACAATCTTAGGGTCTTATCTGAGCTCACTTTATTACCAGTGCGCATCATCATCCACCTTAAATACAAAGAGAAACCTCCTGTGTTGCCTGGTATTCAGGGAAAGTCAGATGTTCTGGAGAGACTACTGCCACTATTCAGTGTATGAGTTTAATTTTTTTTTTGATGGGGGGCAGGGGAGAGGAAGGAAGGATGCAGGAAGGATGCAGGGGAGAAACAGCAAGAGGCCAGCCTGGTGTTGGAAGGAGCTAGCCTCCAGCAAGTGCACCTTGCAAGGACAGGAAGTCTGGGTGCTTGCAGAGGCCAGCAGCAAGCTCCATTTCCTGCTTTTGAATCACATCTGCTTAGCCTCCTCGCGCCCAAAAAGCTGCTCACAGCTAGGGTGGGGATTGGAGGGAGGCCACCTCCCCAGCAGCACTGACTCCACTGGACCCAAAAAACATCTTTCTTCCAGGGCCCTTCACACTACCTCCTCCATAGGCAATATCCCCTCATTTTCTCAGGAGGGGAACTGCTGCCCACAGGGGTTAAGTAATTGGCAGAATCCACACAGTACAACCTGGCCAGGAGTAGTCCTGGAGACAACAAATGAGACAACATATATAAAGCACTCTACAAACCTTAAAGTGCTATGTAAATGCTAGCTATTGTCCCCTGGGGAGCTCAGATTAGCCTTACAGGACAGGATGGGAAAGCATGTCTTATGAGTATCCTTTGAGAGATCTGGGTTAGCCTGGGGAAGAGAAGATTGAGGGGAGATGTGATTACTTTCTTCAGGAATTTGAAGGGCTGTCACTGGGAAGAAAAATTAAGCTTGTTTCACTAGGCCTTGAGGGACAGAAGGAGGAACAAATAGAAAAAAAAGTTGTGTGGACTGATTTTGGCTCAAAATAAGGAACAAAGTCCTAACAGAGCTGTGCAAATATGGAATGGGTTGCTCAAGGAGGTAGTGAGTTTCTTAAAACAGGAAGCTGGATGATTGCTTCACAGGAATGTTGTAGAAAGAGTTTCTCCTTAGTTCTGGGTTGGATCTCTGAAGACCCTTCCAACTCTGATTCTGTGACATTCAGTGGAAGAGAGTGTGTGCTTGCTGGGTGGTGACAGCAGAAGGGTGACTTGGGGAAACACCTCTCTAGGGTCTATGACCTTCTCTTCCAAGGATCCATCCCCCACACCCCCACTCTCTTCCAGCTAGAATAACTTGGAAAGCCTCTTGCCTCTCCACTTAGGTCTGGGGTCTATGCATCAGTGTGTATGTATATATATCAATATCTATCTATCTATCTATCTATCTATCTATCTATCTATCTATCTATCTATCTACGTTTGTGTCTAAAGTTCATACTGCCTGGCTTCTTAAAGGAAGAGACATCTGAACTTCAACAGAAGGTAACCAGAGGTGGAGGGAGATGAGTACAGAGAGCATTCCAGGCACAGGGACAGCCTTTGCAAAGGTAGGAAGGCTGGAGATGGAATGTCTTGAAGGGGCAACAGCTAGCAGAATATATGCACAGATGCAATCATAAGCATGGGAATGGATATGATATACACAAGATGAATAGAAAGTGATTTTTGAGAGAGATACTAACACCTGGGAGTAAACAGAAAAGACTTCTTGAAGGAGGTGATGTTTGTGCTGAGCCTTAAAGAAGCCAGTGCCCCACAGATGGGCTAGCATTTGAAGCCCTTCACAATCTGAGGCCACCCTACTTTTCCAGCCTTCTCTCATGCTTCAGTCAAACCAAGGGGCTCACAGCCCACCTTTCACAACATATCCTGCAGCTCCAGGGTCACCTCCTTCAAAAGACTGTTCCTGATCCCCTCGGTTGTTAGTGCCAACTTCCCAAATCACTTTATATTTATTTCTCTGCGAACATGTTGTATCTGCCCATTAGAATGTAAACTCTAAGGGCAGAGTCTCTTGTTTTTGTATCCTCTGTACACAAAGTAGGTTCCCTGCACAAAATAAGGGCTTAATAAATGTTTATCAATTGCTGTGTCTGTGCTATAGAGCAGGCTCTCCTGAAACTGGGCAGTTTGGAGGTCTGATGTTCCTTCCAAGTGGCTTTCCCCCCCTATGTATTCCATGATCATACTTATAAGGTTTTAGGGTTGCAAGGGATTTTAGAAGTTGTCTGTGGGGCAGCTAGGTGGCACAGTGGATAGAGCTGTGTGACCTTGGGCAAGTCACTTAACCCCATTGCCTAGCCCCCCCAAAAAAAGGAGAAAAAAAAAGTTGTCTGTTCCAATCTTTAATTGAAAACCTCCAGTGGCAGAAAAGTCATTACTTTTCAAGGCAGCCCATTCCATTATTGGATAGCTCAGATTGTTGGGAAATTCTTTCTCATGTTGTTCCTGGGGTCTTCCTTGTAGATCCCATGTTGGTGACAGTACTGGTGACACTATCTTTTTTTTTTCCTCCCTTCAGTGTTTGTAGGGAATGTTCAGGAAGGATAGCTCCATTTATGGGAAGAAAAAAAAAATGAGACATAGAAATGTATAGTAGAAAAAGTCCTGAGTTTACAGTTGGATGATATGAGTTCAAGTCCTAGCTCAGCTACTTATTAGCCATATGATTTTGGGTAAGTTCTTTGTATTTCTCTGGCACTGTTTCTTATCCTTGTCCCATTTCTGCTTGAAGTAAAATTTGCCTTGGCTTCACAACATCACTTTTGCCTACCAGCTCACAGCTTGTGCTTTATAAAGTATCTGACAGGAGTGATTGTATCTCTGAGGGAAATAGCAAGACTTTGGGGACTGTCTGCTCCAGGGAAAAGGATACAATGCATCCTTGAGGATCATTTATCCCAGGAGTGGAAAGATGGTGGCTCTTTGGGGATTGTCTGTCCTAGGAGAAAATTTCTGACAGACTCTGTTCAAGGAAGAGGACTGCAGTGAACTCTTAGGAATTATTTCTCTGAGGAGAGGGAGAGTGGGTCCTCAGGGACCATCTGTCCCAAAGAGGGTAGATAGCCTTTTAAGATCTATCTGCTCCAGGAGAATAAAATAGTGGACCATTACGAATAACCATTCTGCTCCAAAAAATCCCAGGAGTGCAATGGGGCCCTTATTTGACATGTGGGGTGTGGAGCTGAAGCAATCATACATTCTTAATCGTAGAATTTAGAGCTGGAAGGAGTCTTGGGCGAGATTAGCTAGTCCAAATCCCTCATTTTACAAAGGAGAGAACTGAGAGGGGTAATAACTAGCATAGCTAGAATTTGTACCCAGATCCTCTGACTCCCCAGTCCACACACCAAGCAACCTCTCTATAAATTCATGGGGGACTTCGTTCCCTCAGCTCAAAACCTCTCAGGACTCACACTCAGGAAGGGCTTCAGGGTTAGAACTGATCTCTAACACCCTATGCTTTTCAGTAATTTCTCCCACCCTTCACCCCACGCAGGGCCCTTCTGCACAGCAAGCCTGAAAGGAGGACATCCAGCCTCTGCGGGCGGAGGCTAGACGGTCTCTCAGTCACCCCCTTTGGACAGCGCTACATCTTAGGAAATTCTTTCTCCTATGGAGCTAAAATCCACCTCTCTGTGCTTCCCCCCGCCCCCGCTCCAAGTCCTCCCAGGAAGATCAGAGCGAACCTTAAAAAAGCGCAAGAATAAAACACGCCCCTTCCCCACCCCACTTCTGCCTCAGTGTTTAAATAGTTTTCCCCAAGCTTTATTATCTCTATTTTACAGAAGTGGAATCTCAAGACCAGGGTCTCAGAGCTGATCCGGGCTGATCCCAACTCAGCTGAGTTTCTGAACTCGGAGTTCAAGTCTCTTTCCGCAACAGCCGGGAGAGCTTGGGGGTGGGGAGAGTAGGCCAGTTAGTCGGGACAGCGCTCAGCCCGCGACCGCGGTGCAGCGTCCGCTCTCAGCGTAGCCCCAGTTTCTCGGCAGCGGAGCGTGCCGCTAGGAGCAGTGCATGCTGGGATTTGTAGTCCGATAGATGGTGGAGTTGGTAGGAGGCACGCCTCCTTCACCAAGCTCTGTTGTCCCAGCGCAGTCTGCAGCAAGTGGTCTCGCGGGGAGGCCAGAGGCTGCGAATCCGCGAGTCCGCGGGTAAGGGAAAGCGTCCTGAGTCAGGAAGGGGGAGGAGGGGCGGACTCGGAAATCCGAGCTCCCAGCAGAGCTTCCTCGCTCAGCTCAACTGGGGAAGTTCGCATCCGGCCTGAGTGCCCGGACCACGCAACTCGTCCGGTACTCAACTTGGCCAGCGCTGTGTACTAAAAAGGGCTCAGGATTTGCAGTCAGAAGAACATGGTTCGAATCCTGCCTCTGCTACTTACTTTGTGTGACCTTGGGCAAGTCATTTAACTAAGTCTCAGTTTGCTCATCTATAAAATGAGGACATTGGACTAAGATGATTCCTAAGAGGCGTTCCAGCTCTAAATCCCATAGAGTTCGCAGCCCGGCGAGAGGGCTCAGGTGCGGGAGTACGGCGAAGGGGGCGGCGTTACGGCAACGAATGGGAGGACGATCCCCTCCCCCGCCCCGAGAAAGGGAGACCCAGCTGTCTTCCTGCCCCCAAGGCGAAGCTCCCAGCCCGAGCCGGAGTCTCCCCCGGCCACCGATCGGAGGGGACCGCACCCACAGGCTCACTGGAGATGTCTCACTGGGGGGCCTCAACGGCACCAGAGTCCTTGAAGGGCCCAGCATCCCTTCTCCATGCCCAGGGGCACGGGGATACAGCGCGCACCCTCCCCTCGTTCCTTACGTAACCATCCATCCAGTCGGTCTGGTAGTCCCTGGAGCCTCACAGCGGGCCCTGCTTTTAGCTAACTTCTCTTCCGTCCTCCCCCCACACACAAGGAACCCCTTCCGCCGCTGGCTCCCCCAGAACAGAGCAGAGCAGATCCCCATCCCCCACAATCGGTCCCCAGCAGCTCCCTCCGCTTCCACGCCTTCCCAGCCTAGGGCCCCAAGACCAAGCGGCCACTCCCCCTCCCCGCTGACCCGTCGACCTCGTGTGTGCTGGACCCCGGGACTCAGCGTTCCTTCCCCAGCTTTTCGCCTCCTGCAGCACCCCGAGGCTCAACCCCCTTTCCTGCATGGTCCCGGGGTCTGGGTGGGTGAGGGCGCTTGCGAGAGACCCAGCTGCTAGAGGAAGAGACAGAGGTACGACCACCTTCCCTTCTTCCTTCTCCCCAGGGCCAGTAGGAGAGGCAGCCGGTCCTGGAGCATGGGTGCACCGGGTTCCCGGAGCTGCAGCTCCCGAGGCGCACGGGGCAGGGTCCGGGCGCAGAGCTTCCTGACCCCCCCCCGGAGCATGGAGGCCAGGCTCGGGTGCCTTACCTGCCTCGGCTGTGGGCACCAGCTGCACGGATCCTCCGGCCCCTAGCGTCCCTCTGGCTGTGTGCTCGCGGCCGCTGCGCCCCCGAGTCCCGGTTTCTCTTTGGCCCGCGCGCCACCGCGCGCTCAGCCTCTCGTCATGTTGCCTCGGCAGCCCTGTTGCCAGCGGCCCCCCCACCCCCCTCCCCCAGCAGCCCGCTACCTGCCTCCCTCCCCCCTCCGGCCGCCGCCTAGTGGAACGGTCCGCGGACCTCACCATCTGCTCCTCGAAGCGCGGGGCCCCGGTTCCTGCTGCGCAGCCCCCTCAATCCCACCCCGTGCTCCCTACAGAGTGGAACGGTCTGTGGGCCTCACCATCTGCGCCCCCTGGGAGAGGGAGGGGGGCAGGGGAGGTCAAAAAAATGTTGCTTTTAGTTTCCCGCAAACCTCTCCGCCAGTCCCACTCCCTCGGCCCCGACCCTGCCTGGATACAACTGCAGAGGTCCACCCCAAGAGGGTTGGGTTGGGCTGGGGAAAGGGCAAGTGCCAAGGGCATCGATGTAGTACCAGCGATGGGTGCTGGGTAGGACGAGACGGGGGGCATTGGGAACCTGCTTTAGGAGCAGAAGTGGCTTGGCGCCCTCAGGGGTACGTTTTACATTTTACATTGACCTCTGCAACACCTTAGATGGGGATCGGGTCAAGGCTGGCCAGTGTGGCCAGGCATTGGGTATAGAGAAACAAGTGTGGCTCAAGAGCAGTAATCGATAGGGGGGTAGACATTACAAGACCATAGTCTTAGAAATTACGTAACTGTTCGCTTTAAAGACGAGAAACCGAGTTCAGAGAGGTACTGTGACCTGCTTAGAGTCACACAGCAAGTTAGTGGAAGAGTTTGGATTTGGATCAAAGTCTTTTGACCTCAAATCCAGGGCCGTTTTGGGGAAGCTCCTGGAACTGTATCTCTCACTTTCCCTGTCACCCCAAGAGAAGGCAACTGACTCCAGCCACTCCTCCAGGTGAGCTCTAAACAAGGGCTCTAAACAGTTTCCCCCTCCACAGCCCTCCTGGTTTCCAGTTTAGGGGCTGGCCCTTCGGCAGTCCCAGCACTCAGATCCCACCTTCCTTCCGCCCTTTTCAAGGGGAAACTCCACTTTACAGAGGCCGGGTCCCTAGTCAAGCCTCTTATCCGAGAAACCAGACTAATGAGCCCGAGAGTCCTCGGGTGGCACCCAAGCAGTGGATAACCAAGAGAGGGTGTGGCCCTTCCCTTTCAGCAGTGTCTCGGAGGGGGTGGGGTAAGGAGACAGCCTGGAGAGTCATCCGCCCCCAAGAATCTATGCGGACCAGAAAAACTACAACTTCTAGCGTGCATTGGGCTCCTTTCTCTCCCCACTCCGCCTCCCCCTTCCCCAACACCCTAGCCCCGCCACCGCCCGCCCATTGCACACCGGGAGATGTAGTGCCCGCAGGAAAGGATCCGATTTAACTCTTCGAGGGACCTTACAGATGATCTAGTTAAACTCCTTTATTTCACAGGTGAGCATATTGGGGTCCCTGGGAAAGGGCAAGTGTTTGTTCACGGGGACACAGCATTACAGAATCTCAGAGATGGAAGCAGGCAAGTTGTCCAGCTTCTAACTAGTCCCGACAAGTCCTCCAGCTATTCCGGAGTCCGCTGTCTCCAGAGGCAGCCCATTCCGTTGTTGGTGGGCTCTAATCAAAGGAGGCTTTTCTCTACGTGACGCCGAAATCTGACTTTCGGAAAAACTTCCATTCATCGTTCCTAGTTCAATTCAACAAACGTTATTTACAAACACCGTGTGAGACAAAAACGAGGCAGTCCTCGGTCCTCAGAGCTTATTTTACTGTGGGGATACAACATGTACACGCAAATACCAGGTAATTTGAAACCGGAGAGAGTGCTAACAACTCGGGATGGGGGGCGGATCTGGGAAAGCTTCCTGGAAGAGCTAGCATTTGAAGCTTTAAGGAAGACAAGTTTGCTGAGAACTGAAGATGACAATGTGAATTCCAGTATGCAGGACCACTTGGAAGAAAGTGCAGGGGCGGAAATTGTAATGTGCGGCGCAAGGAGCCGCAGGTATCCTTTCGGCAGGAATGAGGGGCGTGCGAAGGGAAGCAATGTGAAATAAGGCTGGGAAGGTAGATTAGGGCCGGATTGTGGAGGAGTTTAAAAGCCGGGCTGAGGAGTTTGTTTCATAGGAGGCCACTGAAGGTATTTAAATAGATTTATTTCTGCCTGTGGGGACAAGCAGAACAGGTCCAATACCTTCCCATTGCAATTTTTCAAATATTTGAAGCCAGCGATCATGAATGAATGAATGAATAAGCATTTATTAAGTGCTTACTATGTGCCAAACAACATGCTGAGTAGTGGGGGGGAGGACAAAAGGGAAGGTGGTCCCTGACCTTACTGTCTTTTTTCAGGTTAAAAAATTTAAGCTGTTTTCAAGAAAGTTAGTAAGCAGTTTTTGAACTTCAATTTTAAATCGTCAGCAAATAAGCAGTTGTTTGAAGTGATTATTCCCACGTATTTCCTACACTTTTGATCATACTCGAGAAATGACAAATTTCAGAATATTTTATCATTTTGGCCATTTTAAAATAACCGCTATTGAAAGTTCAGAAAACCAATCACAAGGAAGAATCAATGGGATCATTTGTTTAAAAAAAATACAAAGCTTGCAATCTTGCAGCAAGACAAGCATATACGTGCAGTTGTATCTGGTTTAAGGTAGAACCCTTAGTCACTAAATAAAATTACTGAACGTTTATAATAAAACAACATCCAACATGTTTTAAATTCTCTCTTTGCCTGGTTGGTAGAAAGAAAGCTGCTACTTCAGTCATCTAGTGTCTCAGCAGAAACCTCAAAAGATGGGTTTCTGAGCAGGAGCCCTCACTAAGTAGCACTTTTCCTGTGTACTGGTTCAGACAGTTTGGGTGATGTTCAGCTGTCTCCTCCTGACCCCACTTGGGATTTTTGTGGCAAAGATACTGGAGTGGCTTGCCATTTCATTTTGCAGATGAGGAACTAAGGAAAACAGGGTTAAGTGACTTGCCCGGATTCACACAGCAAGTAAATTATCTGAGTCTGAATGTGAACTCATGAATGAGGATGATTCCAAGCACAGTGCTCTATCCAGGGGAGCCACCTAGCTGCCCTGGGGTTCAAGAATACATAGCAGCTAAATCATAAAATGGAGCCACATTTTGACTCCTAAGCCTCAAAGCCCATAGGCTTTGCTAGGGGCAAGGAAGTCAACATACTTTTGCTACAAAGTAGAAAAGTTTAAAGTTTTATGTGAGAAGGAAGGAGTCTATCTCAGAACTTGGCACAGCTAGAGTAGATACACTGCTATGGGATGCTGTGAGTCATATTGGAGATGGCCTCCCTGATCTGCCACCACTACCTTTCTTGGCCAAAGGGTTGGTCTTTTTGCTCTTCCATCCTCAGAACTGTGTCACTCTTAAGAAAGACATAGAATTCCCGAGAATGCAGATTCATTCCATAAACTTAACTTGTTTCTCCCCAGTGCCCACCGTCCTTAGGTTAGCTCTCTTCTAATAGGTTATTCTGACTGAAAGTGAAAGGCAGAGATTATAACTAAGATGAGTAAAGATCACAGAGGGGCAATAGGTTGAGTTGCTATGTGATTGGGGCATCAGGAAAGAAAATCAGTACTTCCTATCATGCCCCTAGCTGAGTCTCTCCCAGAAGCCTAACTTGGTATTGTAAACGCTATAGCACCAAAGGGAACAGGGAGCGAGTGAGTCAGTGCAGGGGCCAAGGTTAATAGTTGCTCAGTCGGGATATTAGGAAAATACATCCAAGTTATCCTTTTTAAATCCCTTTGAGGGTACTCATACATTGGGATGACCAAATGAGTTATGTCATATGAATATAATGGAATACCGTGAGATATTATGAAAGGGATGATTTCAGAGAAACCTGGGAAAACTTATGTGAACTGATCCAGAGTGAAGTGAGCAGAGCCGGAAGAGCAACCTATACAACAACAGCATTGTAAAGACTAAACACTTTGAAAGTCTTAAGAACAAGAATCAAAGAAGTAAGCATGCTACCTACCTCCTGACAGAGATGGACTTGGGGTACAAAATGGGACAAATGGGTTTTTTTGGACATGGCCAATATTTGGAATTTGTTTTGCTTGACTATGAATATTTGTTATGAGTGTTTTCTTTTTCAGCTGGAGGAAGAGATTAGAGAAATAAAAAATTTATAGATTTAAAGTTTTTTGTTAATTGAAAAAAAAATACAGAAGGCTCACCAAGACTCCACATGGCTTTAAAAATTACAACTTGCATTGATACAATGCTTTGAAATTTGTGAAACTTTCTTTACAGCAAGTTGGTGAAGTAGGTAATGCAGGCATTACATAACTTACATTATAATAGGGGGAGACAGCATGTACGAGAGTGGTGGACAGAGAAATTTTTTTGTTTGGAAAGTTACAAGGATGGTTAATGAAACTATGGGGGAATAAACTGACACATTATTTCTAGTAACAATGAATAAGTGAATGAAAAAGCATTTATTAAATGCTTATTATATGTACCAAGCATTGTGCTAAGCCCTGGGGATGGAAATACAAAAGCAAAGAGGCCTTACATCCTAATGGGGAGACTACATATACAATATAGGAAAATGGTGACCAGAGAAAGGCAGTTTGGTCCTCAGAAAGTTACAAGGATGGGTCATAAGGAGGGACAATTGGAAGTGTTGATTTGATCAAGGTTCCAGAACTGGTTTAGACAAGGGGGGAGCCTGGCTCAGGGGAGAGTAGTAAATAAAATGAATCATGGTTTTCCTGAAGTAGTGGACCAGGAGAGTCAATCACTAATCAAGATGGCTTGGTCCATTTTATGATGGTTCTAGAACTGGAAAGGATGGGGAAGGGAAAAGAGCAGAGGGTCCAATCATGGTGAGATAACTGGTAAGAAGGTAGTAGGGGAGACTGTTCCCCTCTGTCTCCCAACCCAAATTTTCCCCAGAATCCTCAGTTTTTTCAGAGTATCCTAGGATAGTGTGGTCTCCAGTTTCCTCCCCATCCCAGTCACTCTTCTAGGCCATGTGACTCCAAAGCCAGTGTCTTGTTCTGGGATATCCTGGTGACATTGTTATATTGCCAGAGTTAGGAATGTTTGTCGTCAAACATTGTCAGTGTTTGACTCCAAGGAATCCCCATTAGGTGGATGTTTCTCTCAGGGAGTCTGAGCTTAAGGGCTTCTGCTCCCAGAATCCCCTTCTCCAACTGAGGCTACAAAACTGTGTCTCAGGGCAGAAGTCTGAGGCTGCCAGGGAAGAGGCTGGGGGCAGTGAACTTGGCCTTGGGAAGCAGGAGACCCATATTTTAGTCCAAAACAATGCTATCAAACTCAAATAGAAATGAGGTCACTACACCATACATAAGGATCCCTGCAGGTCACATGTTGACAGTTTTAAAATGTAATGTTATCTATGTTTTCTGGCATTTTTATTTATTTTATTAAATACTTCCCCATTACATTTTAATCTGGTTCAGGCCCTACTGGGAAGTGTTGTGGGCCACAAGAGGACCTCATATTTGACCCCACTGGTCTAGAATCTTTCCCTGATTCACTGGGTGACCTTGAGAGAGTTGTTTTTCTCTAGGCCTCAGTCTCCCCATCTAGAGAATGATAGACTGTTAGGTTTGTCTAGAAGAATGTTTTAATGATCATCTGACTCCCAAACTATTGCTCTTTCCATTTCATCATATCTCCTCCTCCCATTTTCCCTATAACAACAACAACAAGAAGACGTTTTCCTACCTATCAAATGGAGACAGAAAGCAGTGGGCATACAGACCTTAGAGGTCATCGTTAGTGTTCAATGGGTCAATTCCTATCAGTTAGCTGTTAATGGAGTTGATGATGTAGGGGTTAAAGAATTAATTACAGGGTGTTGCTGTTCCCAGTCGAGTCAGGAAGGATCACCGTGACTGAAGAAGAAGAATAATCTGGCAGATAGATCTTTGGAAAGTCCCCCTCATATCAGGCCCTTTTTTGTTTCTAGGAACCCTGGGGATGGGGGGTGGGGGGAGGGGATCACTTAAGCCCAGGTCTGGGGCAACTTGGGGCTTTATGACCAAGCTAGTGGGGGCCTGGTAGATCTCATAGTCCTTGCCTGGACTTTGCAGGGGAGAGGAAATAGGAGAGCCCTGGGTTCTCTTCTGAGCTTTGTGTGGAAGACTCTGGAGATGGGGGGAATATCCTCGTCTTGAACAGGCTTGTGTTGGGGGTGTTCAGGGATGGTAAGGTGGAGGGCTTAAAGTCATAGATTGGGTTCTCAGGAAGAGGAAAGATAGGGGAGATCACAGCCCCAGGCTGTGCTAGAATGGGAGAATTTCATTCAATTTTATAATTTTATTGCTTATTTACTATTTGCAAAGACAGGACTATGTCCTGGATATGTAAGAATTAAAAAAAAAGCACCATCCCTTTGTTCAAAGGGTTTATATAAGTATAAGACG